CCACAACCCCTAGTACCTCTCTGCCACCTATACCAAGAGCCAGATGTTCCACTGCATTTCACTGACACCAGGGGTTCCAGCGAGCCAATCCTGATTTACCAATGATCCCCAGAGCCTGCCCCGAGCAGTCTGGCCAGCCAGCTGCATTCCACTGGCCCTGGAGTCCCAATCCTGACCAACCAAGTCTCTGGCACCTGGCCCCAGAGCTGGCTAGGCTGCTAGCTGAATTCTACAAGCATTTGAATATCTCACTCACTTCAACCAGGTCTCTGCCAAAAGTTTCAAGTTTCCCTTCATCCCCACACTTTTCCCTACCTCACTTACACATACACACAAAGATCAAAACTCAAGAAAAAAAAAGAACTAGCACTAACTTTGCCATAGTAATAAACCAAGAACTTTCATTAAAATACAGAAAAGACAGATGGATATAAAACACAAATGGAACTGAAGGATGCCTAGTGAGGGTTACAGCAGTAAAGGTTACAGCAGTTAAATCGCATAAACTTAAGCCTACAACTGGAGGCCTTATTTTAGTTTATCAAATAAAACCATCTTATGGACTATTTGTGTAGCTGTGCTGCTCCACACATTTTAGGGGTCAGAAGTAAACCTCTATCAAGAGTCCATCTGGGGGTGGTAGGGTCTGGTCAACATCACATTGATGGGTGTTTTTATCAGCCTAACCTTAGGTAGATTGATTTAAGTGTACCATCTGCACATACCCAGGGCAAGTACTTCCAGCAATACCCCATGGTATCTGATAGATGCAAGCAAAAGAATGCCTTATGTCTATTGATTCTCTTACCTTTGCATACAGGCATGGGTCTCAGTCTGACATTTTATTTATTAAAATGCATTCCTCAAATATTTAATATTTCTCCTATCAGAGGCACCTGAAGCAATACAGCAAAAAGGAGAGATGGTCAAACTCTAAATTTCTGGTTTGAGGGAAATGTTTATATTTCAATTTTTTTTCCTGTGAAATTCAGAATGAAAATATATTTTTAAAATATTCCCATGAAAAAATGTTTTTTTAAAAATGGTTTCAGAGATGTTTATCCTGGAATTCCATTTCAAAATTGTGAAATAATTCAGAATTATGAAATGTTGTTTCACATATTATTGTAGGCTTTCTCACTTTGATATTTTTATTATTTTTACCTGCTTTCTGGACATGTTTTTAGTAAAAGTATATTATGTGTGTCATGATATAATATGTTAAAATCATTTTTATTTGATTATTAAATAAGGCAGCTGTCACTTCGTGATGATTGAAATGTCTAATCTTTTCCAGATAAACAGGAGATACGTTGTTCTCATTGAGTGTCTAAGTAGAAACTACCATCTGTTATTTTTTAAGTAATCCATCTATTATACTGTGGGTGCATCTACACATGCACTTTACTGTGCATTAGATTAATTTAATGTACAGTAAAGCATCACCATCCACATGTAGACAGCAATTAGTACACATTAGATTAATGTAAAGTGCTGTTGGCTAGTACCAACAGATACAGTGCTTTAAATTAATATGCCTAAGTGCACGTGTAGATGCTGACATCAGAGACAGGTTTCACTGCTGCACCAGTACAGGGCCAGCCTTCTGCTTTCTGCTGAGCCATGTGACTGGCAGCCTCTCCAACCATGTGGCATGGGCAGCTCCTTAGCTGCCTGATTCTGGCTTCTGGACTCCTGGCTTCCTGACCCCAAACTCATGGGCATGGTGTCCTGGCTGTTGCTGCTGCAGGGAGGGTAAGGAGCATCCATGGTGTGATGGCACTATGCCCCATGCCATTGGGCATATGCCACCCAACCCCACCACATGTAGCCCAGGCCTGAGCCCCCCAGGACCTCTGCCAGCCCAAGCCTGCCTCCCAGGCACCATGCCCCGTGCCTCCAAATGCTGCCACCCAGAGACCAGGCCTGAACCTAAGAGGCCCCTGTCAGTTGCTGCCATGTCAGGCTTTCCACCAGCAGAGGCACAGCTCCAAGGGCCCAACTGGACCCACCAGAAGTCTGAAGACCTAATTGCTATCTGGGGAGATGTAAGTGTCTAGCACCAGTTCAGCCAGGTGACGAGGGCCGATGCACACATCTATGTAGCCATGGTGGAACAGATGCAGGAGTGCATACACCAGTGCTCCAGACAGCAGTGCTGGATGGGCTGCCAGAGCCTATGCCAGGGTCTGCTGAGCAGGAGGAATCACTGGGTGATGGCCCCTCAGGCTCCAGTGCCAGGTCCTGGTGTGCTCCCCACCCTCAGCCTCACCCAGCAGCTTGGGCAGCCTGGGCCACCACCTATCCTGGCTGCTCTGCCAACAGGCCACTGACAAGGAGGACAGGGCAGGAATGACCCTGGGCATGTCAGCTCCAGCGCCTCACTGGAGGTGCCTATTGCCCCTCAGTGCCCTGGGATGCCTTGGCCAGCTGGACCACATTTCTGCTGCCAGGCATGAAGTCAGGCCACCAGGAGTTCCTGCCATGCCTTCTCAGTCAGGCCTACACAGGGATGAGGGCTGGGGGGAGGGGTACCATGGCCACTCATGCCCATGTCATTTCACCTGTCTGCCCCTGGTCTACATGCCCAGAGCCAGGGGCCCTGAAATGGGGCATGGTGGGGGGGAAGGGTCATAGAATCATAGAATCATAGAAGTAGGGTCGGAAGGGACCGTGTAAATCTTCAAGTCTGACCCCCTGCCTGGGCAGGAGGAAAACTGGGTTCAATTGACCCCAGTCAGGTAGGCATCAAGCTGCTTCTTAAAGACCCCCAGGGTAGGAGCCAGCACCACTTCCCTTAGAATTTGGTTCCAGATCCTAGCCTCCCTGACTGTGAAGTAGTTCTTATGGATGTCTAATCTAAACCTACTCTCCAACAACTTGTGGCCGTTATTGCTTATTATCCTGGGGGGCGCTAGGGGAAACAAGGTGTCCCCCAAACCCTTCTGGTCCCCCCTAGTGAGTTTATAGATGGTCACCAGGTCCCCCCTCAGCCTTCTCTTGTGAAGGCTGAACAGGTTCCGGTCCCGTAGCCTCTCATTGTAGGGTCTGCCCTGCTGTCCTCGGATCATGCAGGTGGCCCTCCTCTGGACCCAATGTTGTCCACATCCCTCTTGAAGTGGAGTGCCCAGTACTGGACAAAGTACTGCAGCTGTGGCCTGACCAGTGTTGAATAGAGGGGGAGGATCACCTCCTTGGCCCTACTTGAGATGCACCTGTGGATGCATGATAAGATTCGGTTAGCCCAGCCGACCGTGACCTCGCATTGTTGGCATCATGTCAATGATGACTCCAAGATCCCTTTCTGCCTCCGTGCTCTCAAGAAGGGA